TGTTCGTGGAAAATTTATTCACGCGAATAAATGTTTTTATCTCAATTTCCGTGAGCTATTTGTTGCTGTAATCATTCAATTTCTTTGCCCAAATTCAATTCTTATGATTTCTTGGCGTGATAAAATGGGTTTGAATTATCGCCGTAGCAATCCATGGTAATTTGAAACATGTCCCAATTAATAAAACTTTAATAACATGTCTTCTTTATTCAATAATAAAAAGTCGATCATTTGAAACCAAATTTATTAATTTTAGTATAGATGCATAAATTATTGCAGTATGAAACAAATTTTCATCATTTCAACAGATTAACATCAAATAATGCAGTCTGAAACAATATTAAAACAATAATTAACATTAACATCAAACGAACCAATTTGAAGTGTGACACAAAGCGTCACATTAATGTGATGATTGAAAGTCATTTCCTTTCTATAGAATCCAGTCATGCGAAATGAGTATCTCTTGAATGATTGAAACAAGCTGGAAATTTTCAGAAATGCATTCACTAATTAGTGCCTTAACAAGTAACATAAATTAGTGCTAGATGTTCCGGGGGATACAATCAGCGTTTGAATGTTGCTGGCAATGATAAAAAAATCGTGTCTTTTTATAAGTGGGATCGCGCTCAGTCACTAGCTCAAATCCAACATATGACTATGAAAGTATCTATTGACTATACAAATAAGATGATAATAAACAATGTTGATTATGGATAATGAAGCTTCTTTGGAATTACGAACACAAGTGGCCAATGAAAAGAAAAAAAAACAAAAAAGGGAAGGAAAAATCCAAGTTTTATTCACCTCTTCTCGTATGCGGGCCATAATTTTGAAATTACGACCTAAGTATTTCAGGTCAGATGCTGCGAACTATATCAAGAAATTATCGCTGCTGAAATTTTCTAAAAAATACCACTTCTGAATTTTTGTACGATAAAGTTATTGCTTCAGGTGGTTTCAAAAAGACATCGCTGATGTGAATTATTGTTCTAACAAAATTATGATGTGCTCACAAAATTTATCGCATTATGGTCTATTCCCGCGTAGTCATTGCTGTGGATATGGTCTATTATGGTAGTCATTGTTGTTTGAAAAAAGATGTCCTTTAGCGCTCGCTGTATGAGGTATGATCTCAAGGAGTCTCGCTGTTGGATATTATCAAATGTGGTTATCGTTGTAGGTTATGATGTTCATGAGCGCTTTCTGTATAGGTTATGATCTCAGAGTGTCCTCGTTTTGTAGGATATGATCTCAGAGAGTCCTCGTTATGGGATATTATCTATGCAGGAGTCACCGCTGTAGGATATGATGTCAAGGAGTCATTGCTCTTGGATATTGTTGAATGTCGTCATCGTTGTAGGGTACGGTATGATGTATAGGAGCAATCGCTGTAGGATATTATCACAAGAAGTCCTCGTTGGAGGATATGATCTCAAAGACTCTTCGCTGTTGGATATGATCTCAACGAGTCATCGCTGTTTGATATCGAATTTGGTCATCGTTGTAGGGTATAATCTCACGGGGTCTGCGATGTGGGGTAAGATCTCCAGGGGTCCACTGTAGGATATGATTTAACGTTGTCATCAATATGTTGAGTATGATCAGCAATGTAGGGTATGAAGGCAAGTATCGCTCGCTTTTGGGCGCTATCTCGAGTAGCTTTGCTGCTGGATATGATCTGATGGAGTCCTTATGAACGTGATCGTGTACGATGGCGCCGCTGCCAGATATATGATCCCCTCAATGATCTCGCGGAATCACTTCACTTAAATATATTGCTGTAGAGGCAAATCTCACTGGGTCGTTGTAGGACATTAGCCAGATATTTTGGTCAGCGGAAGGTGAAGTGCTTCAGGTAAAAATGACTTGCGGCGAAATAACATTATTTCTGATAATATCACGCTCCGTCGTGATTAGCCACAAACGGTACACTATCCATAGGAGACATCCAGGCAAGGTTTTGATCCAGACTTGCCTCGTCCGAACAGAGCGATGACCAGACTCCTACTGGCGACGTTGAGGCATATTATCTTGGTCTTTATGCCTTCGGTGTCGGACTCAAAAATCACGATGACCCGTTTTACGCTGATCTCAAAACCAATGAATCAACTTGTATTGCAGCTCTACTAATAATATTTTATGCCCAGAATATTTGATATCGCTCAAAATAATTTATAAAAATCATTCCTGAAATGTTCATTAAATAGAAAATTTATGCTAAAATGTCTTAGCCCTTGTTATTTCACTTGTTACATATTAAGCTGTGCGGGAGTTTTGGAAACAACGCTGGGCTCTTTAACTTTCCGGCCAGTACTAGGATTTATCCTTCATGATCTAGCCCCTGCTTTTTTTCAAGTGCAGAAATTCCCTAGAAAGTTTTCGTTTGCATTTTTAAAATAAGGTGAGAAAGCAGCTATAACTAGGACAAGAAAATGACTTTTCATTCAATTTTGTAATGAGCCTCAGCATGATGTAATGAAATTCGTCTATCACCTTCATGCAGTCGTATCCTGAATACGACAACGATTGTGATAATATACCTGGCACACATGGGATCATATCCTATAAAATCTCAGAACTCATCACTTTATACTCAGAAATTTCTGCTCACTATAGCTGCAGCGTTAAAGGAGCAGCCAATGGAGGCCAAGAAATTTTGAAAGACCAATGAGAGTCAGGGTTCAGACAGCCAATAGGACTGGTCCATTGTTTGTCTGCATCCTGTTCTTGACCAATCAGTTAACAGTATGGATAGAAATTTGTTATTTACTGCAAAAAAATGGAAATAAATCCTTTTCGCTCGGTGGTAAATTTTGAAACGCAACATCTTGCCTACTAAACAAAGAATCGAAATTTCTGACTAATTATTGTAAGTTAAACTGAGACAAAAGGGTAGCGACTCTCATTGTTCGTTGTTTTATTTTGATTTTACTCCAATGTGAAATAAAGATGAATTCTTTTTATTTTGCTCCTGAGAAGACGCAGAGATAAAAAAATATAACTCAGTACTCACTGCAGACTGCAGTGAGTGACAGAGAGCGCATTTTCTCGTCCGTCCGTCCATGAATCACGGACAGACAGAAGACGGACGGACATGACGAGCACAATAGCGCCTTTTTTTCCATTAATGAGAAAATGCGCTAAAAAGGAAATCACTTGATATAACATTAACCCGTCTCGTCTGGTATTAACTCGTCTCTGGAGGGCTAATTCACTAATGTACCATCGTGATTTTTTAAATAGTAGCTTTTATTTTGCACATTTTCTCTGTGATCATTCCAGCCAGCGTCACTTCCTACAAGAAATTTTCTGAACTCCTGTAAATTTTGACGTGTAAATTATGTAAATTTATTTTGCTAATTTATGCGAGATCTGCCGAGTAATTAGTTTAATTATGATTTCAGTTGCACACGCAATTTATCCTGTGAGCTAATGATAATCATTTATTAACTAGATATTATTGGTGCGGTAAGGTTTTAAGTACTTCATACGTAAGAAATCTATTAACTTGAGCGGGAATGGAATTGTTCATAATTCAATATTCTAAAAATATTAGCTGGGTAGAAAAAAAAAAGAATTATGAGCGTATTGTCCGGTACCAAACTCATAATGATTTAAAGTATACATTACGTATCTTAGATATTTTTATTACAAGGAGATTCATTGACCTGCTGCTGATCCGGCAGAAGTATATGCATGCAAGTTTTGTGCGTTAAATTAATTTTTTATGATCATAGATTCATAATACTAAATACCAGTAATGAAGATATATTGCCATTTATTGGACAAGCGGCAGTAAATTCGTTAACAAATGCCGTATGTAAAACAACTTCGTTTTTTTTTATCAATCTCGTACCTTTATGTAGAAATTACCATACATTTATTCATATAACGACTGTTGCTCTGGCTGACCCAGTGCTCCAGTTTGATAAAGGCAAGACAAAGAACGGCTGTGATGCCCAGAAAAGACGTAGACCAATGTTAGCCACACACTCATGTGGCTCAATTGGTGTTTATGTGTGGTCGTGCTGGAGATGTTGGTTTGTTTGTTCTAAGCGTCCCCGCTTGAAGATCTGTAACGTTGCTTTGAGACATTGCAAGCCCTCAATCTTGGTGGTTTGTAATTAAACGTAATGATTTTACAGCCTGTCTTTTAATCTCCTGTCACATTTCTTTAACATTTAGGCACATTTAACGCCGTTTCCTGTTCTCCGTTATACCCTCTTCTAGCAGTTGCGTTATTGATTTGCATCTCCCTCTTTCTACGAACGTGTTGAGTAATCGAACTGTATTATTCTCTTCTCATTTACGCTATTTATTATTCGAGGAGTTGAGTTATTGCTTAAAATTACTTTCTTCTCCGAGTTAGGCATGGTTTAGTGTTACCCTCTCATTTAAATTACCCTCTATCCCCCTGAGAACACAGCAAGGACAGTCGCTGTTTGTTCACTGAGGGTCAAGAGGCTCACGAGGGCTACCCTCGTCAGTAATCAGCCAATGGCCGCAGCAAGAGGACACTTTCACTCTCGTTGAGCTTGGTTTCAAAAGTATTTTGCAGTGTATTTCCAAACGTTTTATTTAATCATTATAGAAAGGCTTTTTACGTAAGGCTCTTTACACATTAACGTACATTATTTCGACATCTTGATGCTGAAAATATCGGAAATACCCATTTTTTCAAAACGTTCTCTGTCTAATGCTTTCTTTGCGATACTATCAGTGAATGCGTCGCTTTTTGATCTTTAAATATATGACTTTCGAAAGTCAACAATATTTATTCTGTTATAATACTGATAAGTCAACGTGATTAGCAGCATTTCAAAATATTTAGGAAAAAAATAATGTATGAGTAACTCGCGTCTCCAACTAATGGAAATACAGACAATTTATGAATTTACCTCAGAATTTATGAAAATCATTCAATATTTGTCTCAGAATAACAGTAAAATATTGAAGTGTATATTGTTCTTCAGAATAACAGTTATTGTAGTGTAAAACTTATTATTACGACAATCGGGCAAGATATTTAAGAATAAAAAGTTTCATTCTTAATTGATTGTACTCTCGACTATTGTGGCCGAAAATTGTTCAAAAATAGCTGACGAACACCATGGCCAGCGTATTCACTAATTAAAATTTAACTAAACGATTTCTAGGCCGAACCATGGCACGCGGCATCGTTTGCATATGGTTCCTGTGCTTTCTCTGCATAATTTCTAGTTTCTGTGGTGCGGCCGCGGAAATTAACGAAAGATCTCAGTTGCTGCACGAGGACCAAGGCAGTGGCCAAAATGATTTTACCCGCTCATCTTCACGTGAAGTGGCGTCTAATTTCAAACCAGAGTTGAATTTCGGTTCCCGTCCTCGCACCACATCTCACGGAGACGAGGATCCAGATCCTGGAGCACCAGTGCAGGATGTCCAGCCTAACCTTCCAGATCCTAGGGCACCGCTGCAGGGTGTTCTTCCAGAGGCCGATATAAATACCCCAACGCCTCTGATTCCGCGCCGCACTTTCAGTCGTTTGAAACATGACAGGCCGTACAATCGCTTCTTGAATTACGGAAGAAAACGCGTCAAGCCTGGCAGTGAGCTGGAGAACGAAATTCTACGCTCCAAAGTAGAAACTTTGGGAGGCATCTTGAAACAACATGTGCAAAAGCTGCGACAGGTGGGCGCTTAATTAAATAATTTTTATTGCACCAATTCATGCAGGTGCGGAATGTCCTGACTGTAACGAAAATGACTCGATGGATATTTGATTGTATCCAGCAGCAGACGAACAAACTAGTAGTATTTTTTTCAGAGTTGCGTGTTTTAATTTAAACATAACATAACATAGTGATCTCGGCGCTGCAGTGTAGGCCGATGTGGCCTGTCGCCGATTCTTTTCCTTTTCGTGCCTTTGCTTTATTTTTTAAAGTATTTTTTAGTTCGTAAGCTCTATAAGTATTTGGCTGGAGATTTAATTAATCTTTGATTAATGTATGATATAATTTGGATTCGCTTAAGGTAAAGTGCAATTTCGTGAAATTAAGTAGAATTGAGGTATGTTTGAATTTACTACAGCGTTTTATTTCTGGTTACATGCAGGCGGCCATAAATACTTACACGCATCTGAAAACTCATTTTTATGTAATTGGATAAACCTGAACGGGGAAAGAACTTGTGTGATCATACGGAGACTTGTGCTTGTCTGTTTGCAATTGTGTGCGTTAGTTCCGAGAACTCTTGTCTGCCCGAGTAAATTAGAGTGAGGGTCTCGTATCACAGATGTGCGAGGCGTCGCAGTGGCGCCTTCTGTGTCTTACGTACAGTCGCTTGTTCTGTTAAGTGCACGAATACATATAAACAATTATTCTGTTAGTTCTGAAATGCTCACATCTTTAGCTTAATTATGTTCAAGTTTGTTCCAGTTATAAAATCCTGATGCTGATATAAAATGGTTAAGTGTCACCGTTGATATTTTACAATGAACTAAATTCACATTCATCAGTGATAGATATGTACGTCTCTCGTCATGCTGCATACTGCGTCGGTTTGCTAATTCGTGTGTGGTCCATATCGCTAACTGAATATTGTCATTATTTAAGCCACATCATATCATTCTTAACTCTTGACGCAAAGTGGAAGATGCAATACAGTCATTCAATACTGTGTAAATTAATGATTGTTTTAACCCTCAAGAAAATTCCAAAACCTGGCCTCCTACACATATTTTTTACAACTAATAAGACAGCTTATACCATTGCGTCGCTCTCCGTTTAAGATTACATTAAACGTAGAAGTTTCGGTAGTGATGACGCTAACTGTACTTACAGGCGGTAAGTCTGGAGAAGCTTCTTTTTATGGGGCAAGCTCATGATACTTGACGCTTGTCTTGCGTAATTGGACCATCATCATCATCAGCGAGCATTTATGTTTTGTGGGCAGAATTATATGAGCGTAAAGGATTATTTGAAGATAATCTAACTCTCTTGAGGTTCAGTTTTGTGAGTTTTTAAGTGGAATCGTATATTTTGACGTTGTAAAATATATAAATAACAAATTTGTACTCTTTCAGTCATTACCGCAATTGTATTTATCCCTAGAATGTCGGTCAACATGCAAGGGTTGTACAAAATAAGAGAAAATGGCGAACATTTTAAGATCACAATTTATGAACATGTTATAAACAATAAAAATTTGACATATTCCAATGTTTCATTGTGTATTATTGCTGTTAATTTATATTTTATGATTTTACATATATTTGTATAAAATTTTGTGGCTATGATCATAAGAATGGCAAGCCTTTCCGACTTTCGAAGAGGCCAAACTGTTGGTGCTCGTATGGCTGGTGCTAATCACACGCTAACAATTCTCAATTCGTAGAGATCAATTACCTCGGAGAATTGATCAAGCTTATATATTACCGAAAAGGTAGGTTAGATTGTGTCAACGACACATACGAGAGGCGACCCAGAAAAACGGACTGCATGGGTGGTGGGCGAAATTCTGGTAGTACTGCATTATTCCTCACCATAATAAACTATATTTTATGCATTTTTAGATGTTTCAATTATTTTGTCCAATTCCTGAAGGTTTTAAAGCATGTATCGCTTACTTCCAGCCATTGAAGCTCGCCCGTGATGCAATTGTGCTGCTGCTGGAGTTAACCCCGACAGCGCGGGACGCTACTGGGCTGCTGGTGTTGCGCTGCCACGCGGCCGAGCCTCGCGCGGTTCCCTTCAAAATCTCAGTTCGATCGTTCTCAGAATTTTAGATCTCTATTTAATGCACAACAGTTAGTGAGATATGCACAGAAAGCACGAAAACAGTGTATATGTTACCTAATAAGTTTTAGTTGCACAAAATATGTTAGAATAAAAAATGTTTCGTAGTCTATGTTTTTTATATTATTTTTTTTTCAATACATTCGTTTATATATTCATTTATTCCATGTTAGCAGAAACGTGCCACCGTGCATTCCGAGTCAGTTTCGAGTGGCTGATTTATCATCCTGAATCCAGACACGCTGTCACCTATTTATTTTTATTTTTCAGCTAAATTTATGTTTCTTCTGTATTTAATGAAAGACCCAGTAACTCAAATTTAATATGTCGTAACTGCTTCAGTAAATTCTCCGGCGTCCACTAAGCCTTTTCTATGGCAATTAAAGCGTTCTTCATCTTCGATTTTTCTTCCTGTAAGTTACTTGCAGTCAAGCCTGTAAAGCTCGTAGCCAGGAAACTTCCATAGATAATTTTGGGATATTCGCACTAGTGGACGCTGTCACTACAACTCCCCTAGCGTAGCCGTAAAATAACATGAAGGGTCTCAACCTGGCAATTCAATTCATAAATAAACTGCGTAAAGCTTGTAATCGGTGATATCTGCAGGGGACCACGTTTCTGTCAACCTGGAATAAATGAATATATAAGCGAATGAATTGAAAAACTAACATAGAAAATATATAGTATGAAACATTTTTACTCTAAACATATTTTGTGTATCTGTAACTTATTATGTAACATATACACTGTTTTCGTATTTTCTATGCATATCTCACTTATTATTGTGCATTAGATATGGACCTAAAATTCTGAGAACAATCGAACTGAGATTTTGAAGAGAACGTGCGAGGCTCGGGGCACCAGCAGCCCAGCAGCAGCACAATTTCCTCACGGGCGAGCTTCGAGGCCTGGCAGATACATGCTTTATAACCTACGTATTTCGAAGAGTAATAAATACAAGAGGAATTATTAAACCATCTCTGAATAACTCCAAAAAAATAAAACTCAGTACTCACTGCAGTGAGTACTGAGTTATATTTTTTTTCNACATACAGCGCGTGCTGGCTGCGTCTCGCCGCGACTCAGTGAAGGCCGTGTTCCTGGTCACCGACGGCTACAGCAACGGAGGCGACCCTCGGCCTGCTGCTGAGGCACTCAAGCGTCATGGCGTCACTATCTTCACCTTCGGCATTAGGAATGGCAATGTCGAGGTTAGATGCATTCCTTATTATTTAAATTTAATTATACTTTATAATTAAATCCCGTCTTATTACAAGGATAACGACAGCAATGCTATTTTTTCAGGTTTCTCCTATTACTTACAATTTTTGCATTCTTTAACGTAATGAACTATGGAATAAATTGAATTATTCCTTATAATTAAATCCAGCCTTATTACAGGGATAACTAAAGCAATGTTATTTTTTTAGATTTCTCCTATTGCTTATAATTTTTGAATTTTTTAACGGGAAGAACAATGGAAAGTTAGGTAGGTTAGATTGTCAACGATACATACGAGAGGCGACCCAGAAAAACGGACTGCCTGGGTGGTGGGCGAAATTCTGGTAGTACTGCATCCTTAATCCTCCCAGCTTATGCAATTTTGCATATGTCACTGACTTTGGTCAGTTAGTGTGCCACGCATTGCTGCCTTAGAAAGCCGTAAGTGTTCCATTATCGCAAATTTTTTTGTGACACTTCTATGAGCTCCCTTCTTTTTTGACGATGTCTGATTTTTCATAAGCAACATGCTGCCGTCAAATTTAGCTTCCTCCTGTGAAAAACTGGGAAGGGAATGCTTCGGGACAACCTAAGGATGATGCTATGGGGATAATGCTAGTTTTTGAGTGGTTTTCCCACTTCAAAAAAGGAAAATGTCAATTGAAGACTAACCTCGCTCAGGTCTTCCTTATACTGACCGAACTGAAAAAAATTTAGAAGTATTGACGATCTTGCGGAATTGTCTCAAGTAACTCGGAGTTCACTCCAGGAAAATTCTAAAAGAAATTTTTGGATAAAAAATGAATTAAAAAATCAGTCTAGTTTCATTTGGGTCCCACCTCGTATTTTGTTTCATTTTTCGTAATATTGTCGGAGATGCTTTCCATTTATAAAGTTCTGTTTTGGAAACGGATATGATGAGAATTATAAAAAAAAAATTCGTATATACTCTTAAAAGACTACAAAATAATAACAAACATTTTCTGAAGTTTTATTATGTTCCGTTAGTATTCTTGAGAAACGAAGGCTTTTACTAACAGTACAAACACTGAGCAGGATGTTTTTTCCATATCATCGTGGTACTGTTATGGAATAAGTCAAAAACAAGTTTCATAATCTTTCACGCAACCATTTAGGTTCTATTTGAATGTCGGGCTGCTAGCGGATCTAATGCCGTTTCAAAATAAGTTCATCTCCTGAATCGTCGTCACTGTTTGAGAGTTATGTGTGTTAGAAGCCTGGCGTATATCCAGCACACTAATTGTGTCAAGATATTACCAGAATCTGAAATTTCGTTTATATAGTGGGAGAAGAGGAATGGATTAGATCAAAAGTGAAATTTTATTTTGCAGTTGGTAGATATAAATTTAATTTAAAAGACACAAAACAGTTTTTTCATATTGTGTAACGAGATAAAAATGGGAGCCTAATATTCTATCTAAAATGAAGTTTTAGAGGTGTCTTTATTTGAACAGAACACTTGAGCTTTATTATCGAGAATTTTGATAACAACGAAATTACGATTCCAAAATTGAAAGAATTGACAAGCCTGGACAATGAGGGGCTATTCTGCTACTTTAAAATAACTTTGGGAGTCATCTCAAGGTTAACGACAGGTCTTTGCATTCAATTAAACAAGCGTTTGTTGCCCTGATCACGAGGACCCGAAATCCACTTCTTGGTTACCAGCACTGACACTATGACACGAAAAAAATCACAAACGGTTTGTTCAATATGAAATTTATTACAGGATATCACTAATGAGGTTTGAACATTGCCTTTTCCCCAGGAGCTGTACGACATGGCGTCGCACCCCCGAGAGGAGCACTCCTACATCCTAGAGTCTTTTGAGGAGTTCGAGGCTCTGGCCAGGCGAGCTTTGCATGAGGGTGAGGGCCATTGAAATAACTTTATATATACCAATAATAATCTAATTATTCTAATAATTTTGGCGGTAAATCGGGAAAATATTTTCAAATTTTATTCCAATTTGAACGGATGTTATTAATGATAATTTAAAAGATTATAACGAAATATTTGGGATCAGAACTGCTAGCATAAGCAAAAGCCATCATATTTCATCATTATAGGCCTGTAGAATCCTTCGAACAATTTGCTTTACTACCTTATCTTAGTATTAGAAAAGAATTTCACTTCTAATTTTTACGACAGATGTACGTTGCTCGGTCTCCAGTTTAATAAATACATTGATTACCTCTTGAGAATTTCCAACTTCCTACATTCCACAATTACTGAATAATAACTGGGAAAATTCTCCTAGCTATCTTCGTATCCTCCCAGCTATTCGCCACAAACTGTTCCCATACAAATGATTAATCGTGAATAATCTTAATCTTTTTCACCGCAAAATTTATTTAATTGCTGCCCAGATCTACAGACGGGCTCGCTAGTGGACCAGAACCCCCAGGCGTGCTCGTCGTTGTGCCCCGCGGAGGACGGAGGTTCCTGCTGTGATGTGCACGCCACGTGTACATGTGGCACTCACACCGGGCACTACTTGTGTACCTGCCAGCCGGGGTACTATGGTACCGGCCTACGAGGCAACTGCAAGCGTACGTAACTAGGATAGAAATATAACTCAGTACTCGCTGCAGTGAGTGACAGAGAGCGTAACTCAGTACTCACTGCAGTGAGTGACAGAGAGCGT